CAGAACAGGTTTGCTCAGCAAGGACTTTCCCCCAAGAGAGTTGTGAGAAGCACTGTATGCCTGACCGAGGAATACACTTTTCTGAAGAACACAGGACCTAGGGCCGAGAACGGGGTTGTCAGAGGCTCCAGGCCCCATGGGCCTGTGGTGGAGGTGACCGATTTCGAGCCCAGGCTCCCATGGTGGGACGGCAGGATTGCTTGCCCTGTCTGTGTTGAATCCTGTAGTCATAAGATGACTGTGGGACTCAGGCCTGGCCTGCTGACCACAGCCCATGATGCTCATCTTTCTGTTTTGCTGTGAGAAGGAAGCATTGTTTTCAGAGGAGGAACAGCTATTGCCCTGGGGTTCCCCTTTCCTCAAGGTTTCTTTGGAGGCAGAAACCACATTTTGTAGTCTCACTTTTTCCTCTACGATCTGTCCAACAGTCCTAACGAGCACCTGTGCTTCAGCACTCCCACTGTTCATAGAGAGTCTGCTGCTTGCACCTGACCCTTGAGTTTCAGTAGCAGGTGCTGGGGCCTGGACTGTCTGCAGGGACTCTGCCTCTGCTCGGTCTTTGTTATGCAGCATGCGTTGCCCAAATTTTGTTACTCTGGTCAAAGTGGAGCTTTTGGAAGGTGCTGGTTTCTTCTCTGCCAGGAGCAGGGACTTGCTCCCCATGGGGTCTCTTGCTTCCCGGACCTGAGAAGAGGGAATCAGCCCTCCTATTCCCTTCCCTCCTGCAAATCTGTCTGTCTTCCCTCCCGGCTTGAGCCTCTCAAAGCTGTGTCTCTTCTCAGGTGGAACAAACATGTTGCACTTGGTAACTCTCGGCTCCTGGGGCCTGGGCATCCTGGGATCCATTTGTTCCTGGCTCATCCTGTCATTCACTAGGAGGCCACAAATGCCTCGGGAAGGTGATGGGCTCCTAGTGATCCATCTCCTGGGGCTCGCAAAGCCCTCTCCACACTCAGGTGGACAAAACTTGCTGCTCTTCATGTTCTCCGGATCCTCCAGTTTTGAGACCCTGGGGTCTTTTTCTTCCTGGCTCATCCTGTCCTTCCTTAGGAGGTCGAATTTCCCTCGGGAAGCTGATTCACTACTAGCAAGCACTCCTTGGGAGCTGGATGGACTCTTGTGAGAAGCCAGGATGTCTTCCATGAAGGACGTATTTAAGGAGGTGTGTTGAAGGACCTCACCAGTGGCAAAGTCTTGCAGGAGAACTCCAGTTGTTGGATCCTGAGTCTTGTTTTTGGTGTCTTCCTGCGTAGCCACGCATGAGTCTCCTGTGACCTGCACAGCAGAAATTCTGGGCATGGGGAGGCTTCTATTGGATCCCAGAGACTTGAAACTCCTCAGACTCACATGAGGGTTTTGGGAGGTTGACATCACACTGGCTCCCTTGGTCAGTGCCCTGTCAAAGGGCTTCTTCTGCTCAGTCTCCACAATTGGCTCGATGTCTCTGCCCCTTGAGTATGGAGATCCTACAGTCATC